GCTCATAATAAAAGTCTGTATTCCTTTTTCTAGTAACTGCTTCTTATTTTATTTCACTAGAGTATCAGGTCTACAGTGGTTTAGGAAAAAAAAATAGAAACAGGTCCTCCTTCACTGACAGCTTGAGAAGCCTGCACTGGGAAGCACCTGGGCCTAAAAGGCTCCATGTCCTGCATGCAGATTCTGCCTCCTCGGGGAAACATGGCGGTCAGACACAGCCAGGGCCTTGTTAGCCAGCTGCTAAAAATAGCCTACCTAAGGGAGCCCTAACAACAGCAAAAATGAATTAAGGGGGAAAAAAAACCCCAAAAGACAAACAACGAATTAAGGTTCACTGATAACAAATAAATCCAGTGAAAGGGTGTCCAGCTCCTGCGTGATACCAGCGACGCTCCTTTGCAGAATCCCTTCGACACTGGCTAAAATCTCTCACCCCATCTATTACACTCATCTCGGGTTGGGAGCCGCCTGCAGGTATTCTGGGCGATGTGTACGATCTAGGATTCTAGATTCTCATCAATGCAGCGCTCCTGGCTGCTACAGAGAACAAACTGAATGAGAGATTAAAAGCCCTTGGAAAAATTAATGGTGTATTCCTTATCCCTTCCACTGTCTACGCGTTATACATTTAATCCTCCACTCAACCCTACAGAAAAGCATTCTCGCATTTTACAGAGGAAATTATAATTATCTTACGGATTAACAAATCACAGCATAGAGAGGTTAAACAACTTACGTAGGGCCGCGGTAACTAGGATTTTGAAGCTTTCCCTAGCTGACCCCAGCGCCTAGGCTCCTGCACTCGGTGTGCCCTCACCCTGGCATGTTCTTCAGCTGCTCAGCCTGCCCTGATGGCCCTGCATGCTGGGCCTCCCCTGCGCTCCGTCCGCTCTGTCACAACCAGGGCTGACCTAGAGGGGCTGCGTCTCAAGGGCAGGAAGGATGGAGGGCCCCAGGTGGTCATCCTGTGGCGGTCACCGGGAGGTTTTAAGTCAGAGAAGGCCAGGATCAGACCCGAGGTGTAGAAATGTCACCGCGGCTGCGGCACGAAACACAGCTTGGAGGGGACAGGATCTCAGAGATGCCATGTACGACGCCTCAGCCTTGACATTTACTTGCCCTCACCTCCTCACCTTCCCTCCCCTGGCAGCGGCGCTGTGGCTCGCTCACCCAGTTGCTCACGCCGAGGCCGGGCCCGTCCTGACGGCTCACTTGCTCTCAGCCCCCCACCTACACCGGCTGCCTGACCAACGGCCAACGCAGATGGGGCAGGGATTATTCGACTGAGGACATCAACACTGTTCTGATCTTGAAACCATTAACAATGACAATAATAAATCACTCTGCTTATGAAGATCGACAGGAAATTCTAATAAAACATCACAAACAAAAGACACCAGGACCTTCAAAGGATCATCAACCACGACTTAGTGGGGACTTCTCTCTGGAATGAGGGTCCAGCATAAAACCAAGCAAAATGCTTCACATAATTCATCACGTTAAGCCTTTTAAAAGCTTTAAAAAGGTTAGTTTAAAAATAGAGAGCCAGCATTATACTTAATGGAGAAAGCTATTACGGACATTATCTTTAAAAATAAAAGCAGGATGGGCTTCCCTGGTGGCGCAGTGGTTGAGAGTCTGCCTGCTAATGCAGGGGACAGGGATTCGAGCCCTGGTCTGGGAAAATCCCACATGCCGCGGAGCAACTAGGCCCGTGAGCCACAACTGCTGAGCCTGAGCGTCTGCAGCCTGTGCTCCACAACAAGAGAGGCCGCGATAGTGAGAAGCCCGCGCACCGCGATGAAGAGTGGCCCCCGCTTGCCACAACTAGAGAAAGCCCTCGCACAGAAACGAAGACCCAACACAGCCAAAAATAAATAAATAAACAAATGTGGGGTTTAAAAAAATAAAGCAGGCAAGAACCTGTTTAATACAAAGTTGGCAAGAGATGCTTCAGGGGCAATATGAGATACATAACTGAAAATGAAGAAAGAAAATGTTTTTTAAAAAGTGATAACCATGCATGAATAGAAAAAATCCAAGGAAATCAGTCAGAAAAATTTCATGTGATGAATATTGTTACATACAAGATAATTTCCTAAAAATCATATGCATATACGGAAATAACAACTAAAAAGTTCAATGAAAATGGGATACCATTATCAGTGACGGCAAGCTCTAAATGAATGGGCAGTAATTTAATAAGGGAAGATATGGACTTAGAGAAAATTATAAAGTTACATGGGAGGAATAAAAGGGATCAGGAACAAATGGAAATGTCCCAGGCTGAGGAGACAGGTACACTGAGGCTGTCACAGGACACAGCACTGACTGGACTCCCCGGGGGGAGTTCATTATACGACTTCATTAGTGGATTTTCAACGTGGCACGGAAGCCATCTGGAGTGACAGAAATGTCACACGTATGGAGAATGGGTTATGTGGACTTAATGTATTTATCAAAACTCACCAAACTGTACGCTTAAGACTTGCGCAGTCCACTGTATGTAAATTATCTCAATTAAAAGGAACAAACCCTACGGCAGATGAGCCGGCAGTGTCTGGAGCCTCTGATTCAGAGTACCTGACATCACTGGGAAGATGGAGCCTGGGCCTGGGCCGATCACCTTCCCCACCAGCAAGCACTTCCCAAGGCATGAGCATACTTCCTGAGCCTGTCTGCCCTGCAAATTCCAATCTATCTGGAGGCCTGGGCGCCAGCATCATCCCGACCCCGAGTGGCACCCCCAGGCCCCCCTCCTGCTCTTGCCGCCGGCTGCGCTCTGTCAGAGCAGCTCACAGCCGCGGCCTCCTCCACTCTCAGCGCGATCATACACCAGACACTGGTATTTACGTATACTAACTCGAGTTTGAAGAGTTTGTAACACTGCCTTTTTAAAATACAAATCAATGCGGGAAAGTAGGCTATCTGGACAAAAGGTTAAAACGTAGGGCTAGGGAACAGCAGCTGTATTCTTGGAACTGATATAATATCCAAACAGATTTGCTCAGAGTAGTACAGTAAATAATAACCAATTTTTGCCGCTTGCCTTATAATCTCAAGATACGCTTTGATTTAAATAATTTAGAATTTTGATATGATGAAACTTTTGTTCAAAAGTGAATGGTTCACAGCGCCCAGCGATATTTCGTATACGTTACAGTAAATGCACGTGCAGAGGAGCACTAGGCCGTGGGAGTGCCGAGCTGTGTGCAGCCGGGCCCTCCGGCTGGCAGAGTGGCGGGCACCAAAGACCCCGGCTCGGCCAACGCTACCCAGTGGTCTCGGGCAATTTCCTCATCTCTAACACGAGGGTAATAAAGGGTAGGTACACTGTCCTTTATTCTCGTTTCCAAAATCTAAAATGTACTAAAAGACTGGTAAGTTTGTTTGTTTTTCTAAGCTCGAAGGAAACTAATTTTGTGGCAAAACCTGACCTGAACTGATGTGAGGGCTGTCTTTACACCTGGTAATGTGAACACCTGTGTTTTGCTGTAAGAGTGTTAGTGCTTTTAACTCTGTATGCTATTGGAATACTTATATAATATACAGCACGTGCGTCATATTTCATTAATTTTCTTTCTTTTTTTTTTTTTTTTTTTTTTGGCCGCACTGCAAGGCTTACGGGATCTTAGTTCCCCGACCAGGGATTGAACCTGGTCCCTGGCAGTGAAAGCGCTGAGACCTAACCACTGGACCACCAGGGGATTCCCTTCATTAACTTCCTAAAGCAAAAAAATAGTGTAGCACACAGAACCCTCAAGAGTTTCGGATAAAATATTTTGGACCTGTCTCTTCCCCACAGGGTGGTTATAAAGACTGAATGACTTTCTGTATGAGAAATATGTAGGATGGTGACCGACACGTGATAAGTATTTTGTACGATCTTAACCATTAAGCTGTGACAGGGCTGTGTGCATTAGTCCTGTCTGGCAGTTAAATGAGTGTGGGGTGTGTGTGATGTCTGCAGGCCTCAATTTTAAAAGAAAAAGAAAAGAAAGGTGAGAAAGTGCCTCCACCTAATGTGATTTGCTCCCAGGTCCCTGTTCGTGCCAAGAGGGCCCTCACTCCCCCTGCAGCGAGGGCAGCGGCCACCCGGATAGGTTAAAACGTGCCTCACCAAACTTGTGCACAGCTTGCTTTGTTTAATTTGAAACTACAGTTTTCAAAAAGAAAGCCCCGTATAAAGAATGAAATCAGGATCACAGGTGATGAACCGCTGTCTCGTAAAACCATTGGTTGTTGATTTAATGTTTCTGTGCCTGTAGGACTCCCAGAGATGCATGAACAGCGTTGTATCCCCTCATCAGTGTCTGGTCCCTCAGCATAGAGGGTGACGTAGAGGTGGCCTCGGGATGTTTATGGTCAAAGCGTGAGGGACCAGCTCTGGACCAGCCAGGTACGGGCTCTGCGGAAGCACTCTGAGTCCTGGCTCCGTCCAGGCCTTCTTCTCTTCAGGCTACTTCAGGAAGGTGACAGGGGAGGGGTCCTAAGGCTGAGGACCACGTGACACACACAGGCCACTCTGTCACCGCTCCTCTATCCCCAGGGTCTTCTGAGGGGCTGTCGACAAGAGTTGTCCCAGGAAGACATCTGCTGCCCACAACCCCAGAGGCATGTGGCAGGAGGTCTGCATCTCTCAGACCTCGAACCAGAGGAGCCCAGGAAGGCAAGCCTGGGGACCCTGGGCTATCTAGTCATGTGCCCGGCAGTAGCAAGAGGCAGTGTCTTATGTGCAAGCTGACACTTCAGTGGGAGTCGTTTCTGTGTAAACGTGGCAGTAACACAAAACCACAGAAACGGTTCTACATCTGAGCCCGTGATTCTACTACAGACCTCCTAGAAATTTATCCTGAAAAGCGAACGACCCACTATTGCAAGTTTTAGGAAGCAGGTGGAAAACAAAGGCTCCTGCTCTGGGACACATGAGGCTTGCCGTCATCGGCAGTAGCGCCGACTCCAGAGGCTCGGGGAGCAAGAACTTTCTGAGACTCAGTTACCAGAAACCTCTCCTCCTTCTCCAGCCAGCGCTGGTCCTCTTCCATCTCCTGCTGCTGCCGGATCAGCCGCTCCTCCATCAGGTGGGTCGGCAGCACCTGCCCGATGCCACGCAGGTCCAGTGTTGCAGAGTCCTGGAGGAGGAGTTAAAAGGTCCACTCTCAGAAGTCTGTGTGTGAGGCTCTTACTTTTTTTTCTGTGTGTCTTTCCAAACAATTAAGCAAAACAGCAAGTGTGGTGGAAGTAGGGTCTCTTCTACTCTGCCGGCGGGAGCAACTTTTCTGAGGGTTACAAGTTAACGTGCGTGAAACAGCTTTAAAAAGCATACAACGGTTCACTTGCAGGGACCTACTCTAAAGAAGTGATCCAAGGTATGCGGCAGAGAATGCATCATTAGTTAGAGCGAAAAAGTGGAAACAATCTGGAAGTAAAATAACGGGAGGAGGATTAAATACGACACACACATATTACAGAGTATAAAGCATGTGTACTCCAAGGAAAAGAGCTTGAAGAGCAGACAACTACAGATGTTCTTGGACTCAAAGAAATGATTTTTAATATTATAGGAGTGGTTCTTGGTTTTACCAAGAAAATTCAGTAAAAATTAACACGGTCCGCAGAGCTGGAGGCTGTCTGTTCCTTGGCCTCACGTAGGGCTCCGCTTTTCAAATGAATGGGCTAATGACGGTAGCATCTCTCCATCGTTTAGTGAAGATTCACAGACCCAGAGAGCATCTGATCTTCGAATGAGGGCATCTAAATTGAGAAATCTTAGGATTTAGAAATCCTGTACCTTGGGCACAGCCTCATCAGTTAACAAAGCAAAGCCCAAGAACATCCAATTTACCTCCACGTTGGGCTGCCACATCGATATCTCCTGTGGTCTGTGATTCCACGAATCTGTTTGGTCCAAAAGAGATGCCTGGCCTGGGTAGATGCTGCCAGCCACGGCTGTGATTCCATGTGAGCCAGGGTAGCCGGAGACCTGCGGGTGAGTGAAGCGGCCAGGTCAGGGTCTGACGCAGTACGACTTCTGCACAGTTCTGCTTTCCACGTGAAAGGAAGTAACTGAGATTATAGAGAATAATGTGGCAGCAGAATAACGGCTCCTCAAGCTTGTCCACGCCCTAATCCCTGGGACCTGTGTGAATATGGTAGCTTACAAGCCAAAGGGACTGTGCAGACGTGATTATCAATTAGGAATCATTAGGTGGGGAGATTATCCTGGACGATCTGAGTGGACCCAACGTGATCATAAGGGTCCCTAAAAATGCAAGAGGGAAGCAGAGGGGAGAGAAAGGGGGTGTGGCTACTGAAGAACAGTCAGAGAGATACTTGGGCTTTGAAGTGGAGGAACGGGTCACGAGCCAAGGAATGCAGGTGCCTCTAGAAGCCGGTAAAGGCGAGGAAACGGACTCTCAACTGCAGCCTCGAGAAAGGCCGTCTGTTATGGCCACAGTCGACAGCTAGTGCAAACAGACACTAGGAAACCAGAAATTCTTCACTTTGGAATTCTACAGTGCTGAGCGCAGACCATCCTCGGATGTAAAAGCAATGGGCCATAAACATGGTTAAGCCATCTCTCTACAAGTCCCTTTCCTGCCCAACTCACTACTACTCCACCAGCAAAGAACAAACAAGACCCCCAAATGCTTGTCCTCTAGTGAACCAGCGTGGATGGTGAGAGAAGGCAGGCCTTCACAGTCTACCAATGATCTCAAAGGCAGAGAAAAACATTTAGTTGGACACGGAGAAAAATTTCAAGGCAGAAGGAAAGTGAGAGGAATTTCTTTACATGGTTCTCCCTCAATCAAGAGAAAGAGAGACAAGGAATCAGTATCTGTTTCCCTAACTCATTAGGCTGCTACTGGGCAGCCAGGCTTGTCAGCTACTTTTTAAAGGAGATAAAGCACAGCCAAATCCATATTCCAAATTCCCTTCAACAAAGATTTCATGCATTTGTTAGGTCTCTAGGCATTGATTTATACCAAAACTCCATACTGACAATACGTAATTACTCAACTTTCAAATAAGATGTACAGGTAGTTCTCACAGTTTATTTGAATGAAAATATTTTAATAAAAAACTCTACTAAACATAAAATGCTGTATCAGCGACTATTTCTGGTCAGAAGGGATATATCACTGCCAGAGAACTTCTAGGAATTTTCACAACAAAGAGATTTCAAATGATCTAAGGCAGTTTCCTGTATGACACCAACGACGTGCAAGGATCAAATGAGCATTTCAAGCTGAAAAGGCCTACAGGAAATGTCCCATAGCTGTTCTTATTTACAAGGTAAGGAAACGTGGGGCTTGGGAGAGAATCATTCATTTGTTCGATGAAAAAAATGAATGTTTTAATTTATAAATATATACAATGTATATTTCCCCACCCCCAAATGTGCTGAAGAATAAAATAACACATCTTTTAACAGTAATGAACGGTATACCTGGTAGTGATTGGTCTGTACCATGTGCTGTGGGCTGGGATGAAACCCTTCGCTGGACCTCGGACTAGGATAACCAGGTCTGCTGGGCTGTGAACAAATCAACAGAGCATCACATGAATAAGTATCCCGATTATTTTGGTAAATCCGCATTTTATTAAAAAGAATAGAAAAAGATAATTTTCTATAAGAACTTAGTTGGAAAGAATGATAAAGGGTGTAAAGACATTTCCATGGGGGTAACAGTCTTTTCAACACATAATGCTGGGACAACAGGATATCCACATGCAAAAAATGAAGCTGGACCCCCCCGTCCTTCCCCACAACATACATAGAATTTAACTCAAACGTGAGAGCTAAAACGATAAAACTCTTAGAAGAAAACGCAGGAGTAAATCTTTGTGACCCTCTGGGTTAGGCCATGGTTTCTTAGGATGCCGAAAGCTCAGTCAACAAAAGAAAAGAGAAGATAAACTGGACTTCATCAAAATTAAAAGTTTTGTGTTGCAAATGACAACATCAAGAAAGTGAAAAGACAACCCGTGAATGGAAGAAAGTATCTGCAAATCATCTATCTGATAAGATTCATATCCAGAATATAGAAAGAACTCTTATAACTTCAACAAGAAAGTGGCAAATAATCTAAGTAAACAGTGTGCAAAAGATCTGAGTAGACCCAAAGAAGATATACCAATGGCCAATAAGCACATAAGAAGATGCTCAATACCATTCAGCATCACGGAAATGCAAACCTGGAGGCTTTCCTTTCTGCTCCTCACCGGCTGGGAGCACGTGGGTGAACCAGCCGGATTCTATTTCCTCATCTAAAGAACTGGGTTGACTTGGAGGGACCCTGAAGTCACTTCCAGCTCTAAAATCCTCATTGTTTGACACGTGAATTTAAAGTTCAGAGCAAAAAGAACGGTCTAGTCTGAAATGGAAGATGAAGTCAATAAAGTCTCCTAAACTTGAGGGATTTAACAAAGTGGAAACTCAGGGCTCTCCAGGCGAATAAAGACCAGACTTGAAGGAAATAGACTTGGGGCCCAGAGAGCCCAGGGGAGGAAGGAAAATGCCTCAGTGCCTGTGTCGCTTTCCCGTGGACACAGGTGGTCCTGGATGAACACACACTTCACTTTGGCTCAGTTCTGAGTGAGTCTGAGTCTCGAAACAGTGTCACCCCCCTCTGCCTGGAATGCGTGCCTCCTCCTGTCCCGGGTCTCCCGTGTCACCCCTCCCTCTCCCTCCTGACACAGAAGCGTATCCCCTGCTCTCCTACGAGCACGTGGACTGCAGCTACCCCTGCACTTGCTCCCGCCCTGCTGTGCGGGCCTGTTAAGCCTCTGAGGGTGGGAAGGCTCCCCCACCCTTTTAGCCCTGTCCCATTTCAGCCCCCAGGTGCAGTCTACTCCAAACTTAACTAGATGTGAGGACAGATCCCCAAGACCCCCCGAAAGAGGGAAGGGCATGAAGGGGGAGTCACGGGCTTTGCTTGTGTGCTAGGGTGACAATTTTGTTCCATGAAGCCCTTAGGGACTACTCTCCAGATTTATATTTTTAAAGGTTTCACTTGAACAAGTGGTTAAGAAGAGGCAGAAATGTCTGACTATCTCTGTCCTCTGACATTTCAGCGGCAACAGCCGTTTGAAAGGTGTGTGTTAATATGTATGCATTACAATGGTCGTATGGCAAAGGCTTCCCGGAGTCCAAGTATGGGAGGGTGCAGACCCAGGAATTAGGACAGTATTCACAGCTATCTGACAGGTGGACAGTTGTGTCTGCTGGCTTACATTTTGGAGGTGGCAGGTTAAGTAACACAGGCAAAAATAAAAACTTTTACTCAAAAAAAAAAAAAAAAAAAACAAAACTTTTACTCAATGTGTCCTACCTGTAGAGCTAGGTGTCGTATGTACAATCTGAGAAGTCTGAGACCAATGGTACAAAGAAGTATTATCACCCCATTTTACAGAGGATAAAACAGAGGCTCAGAGAGGTCAGGTGATGCAAACAGGCTGCACAGCTGGTAATGGCAGAACTGCCTGCCTCCAGAGTCTGCTGTGCCGTGCTGCTACTCTATGACAAGCACACAGTGACTCACCAAATAAAAGGGGAATTACAAAGGGAAAGATCAAAGAACGGCAGAATCTCCACAGAACATCCTCCAGTGGCTCAAATACTTACATGGGTAGCAAACGGTAACACTTGTAAGGTTCCATTTCAAAATAAAGATAACAGATAAAAATATGAAAACATGTCTTACAGAAGATGAAACTACTGCACCAAGAATACCACAAAATGGAACTCTGTTAGCCACCCGCTGCGGAGAGCACGGACGTACTGCTAACAGTTCTGCTTTCCTTCTCTACAAGTACGGACTCAGCGTGGCGGCCAAGAGGGCAGGCCAGGAAATGGCCAGTGCCAGGCCGGGGCAACCTGCCCACTGTGCCTTCAAGAATGAGGTGGGGACCGGGCTGCCACAAAGGTCGAGTGAGCTGGGCTGGGCTGAGGCACCAGACGAGTCACCGCTACCAAGTACAAGGGTTAGCAGGCTGATTGCATCTCCTCCTCAAAGACAGAAACTTGGACTTTCATGAAGCAAATGACGGAGCTGGGGGAGTTTTTGTTGAAAGCCTCCCAAGTGAGGAGGAAGAAAAAGGAAAACCCAACACATCCTACACTCGTGGTCCTAAGCTGGATGGCAGTGCCCCCGATGGGGGCCCAGGGTACCGAGAGGGCGCTCCTGCTGCCTGCAGGGCCCGGCACTGAGGGTGGCAGGCAGGTGGGAGGGACAGCGGGGCTGAACAGCAGGGCCTGCGCCACGTTCAGGTGTTTCTCCACCTTACACAGGTAAACAACAACAAGGAGCCCTGTAGTCTGAACCGAGAACCAACTCCGTCTGACATACAAACACAAATGGTATTTTGCATAGTTTATCAGACACTGAACTTTCCAGAAGAGCAACTGCTGTGAATACTGATGGACAATTTTACTTTGTTTTGTTTGAACTTTACCAAGATTCTTCACCCTTCTAGAAAATCACATCATCAAGACGAATGAGATCCACAGTCAGCTGTGGCTGCAGGGTCTGCGTGTGTAGCTGCTGCATCCAGGGCGAGCCTACCACACACAGGTGTGGGCACCTGGCTCCTCCACCGCACCTCCCAGTGTAATTATACCCGAGTATTTTATACAGGTGTGTGCATAATGCTATTAGAAGTTACTTTTATTTCTCTTGTACAGTTCACAGTCTCTTGGCTGTGTTGGTATCTTGAAATTATTAAGTCATTTTATAACCTATGTATTTTATTTCAGGATTAGTAAACGGGGCATTATAAAGTATTTTTTATATAAATGGAATGCTGGGTCTGATCAGGGCTGAGAAACACTATGCTGAGGCAGCTATTCTCAGGACGCCTTTACATTCTCAGAAATTACTGAGGACTTATCTGGAATATATCTACCAATATTTACATTATTAGAAATGAGCCTTTACTTATCTGGAATATATCTACCAATATTTACATTATTAGAAATGAAAACGTCGAGCATCCGCATATATATACTAATGTAGGTGATCTTCTACCCATTAAATTTTTTTTTTTTTTTTTTTTTGGCCGCACTGCGCAGCTTGTGGGATCTTAGTGGGGTCTCAGTTCCCTGACCAGAGATTGAACCTGGGCCCTTGGCAATGGAAAACCTGAGTCCTAACCACCGGACTGCCAGGGAATTCCCTCTACCCATTAAAATTTTAATCTGGGGACTTTCCTGGTGGCACAGTGGTTAAGAATCCACCTGCCAATGCAGGCGACACGGGTTTGAACCCTTGTCCAGGAGGATCCCACGTGCCGCGGAGCAACTAAGCCCGTGCGCCACAACTACTGAGCCTGCGCTCTAGAGCCCGCAAGCCACAACTACTGAGCCCACATGCCGCATCTACCGAAGCCCGTGCGCCTAGAGCCCGTGCTCCACAACAAGAGAAGCCACCGCAATGAGAAGCCTGCACACCGCAAGGAAGAGTAGCCCCTGCTCGCCGCAACTAGAGAAAGCCTGCACACAGCAATGAAGACCAATGCAGCCAAAAATAAATTAATTAATTAAAAAAATTTTTTTTTAAATTTGGGGGCTGCCAAACTTTTAATTTGGGGATCAAAAAGTAAGTATTTTATTTATATGGTTGCGCCGTGCAGCTTGTGGGATCTTAGTTCCCTGACCAGGGATCGAACCTGCAGCCTCAGCAGTGAAAGCTGAGGGGTTTTCAGTTCTCAGTTAGGGGAAAGTCCTAACCCCTGGACCGCCAGGGAATTCCCAAAGAGTAAATATTTTAATCTTTTTGAGCCATACTGTAACGGAACCACTCAAGTCCGTCTGTGTAGGGGGTACCCAGCCATGGACAACACACAAGCCATGGGGGCAGTTCATGCAATAAAACGTTCATCAACAGAAACAGGCAGTGGGGTATAGTCTGCTGACCCACTCTGAAGGGTAGAACCATCTCTGACTACAGAAAAGAGCCTCAAAATATACACGTTGAAAACATCCTAAAGAAAGAAATGTGAGGATATTTAAAAAGTTAAGCAGAACTCACCTTTGTTCTGTAAACAAAGAAGCCTAACCACTCCATCTCCGCCCATGAACTTAATATCACAGCCTTCAAAACTCAGCCACATGAAAATTATTAAAAATCATACAGATTGAGGTGCGTAATCATGTTTAGATGGAAAGGGTTAATTCTGTGAGTTTTAGGGGAATGCTGTGCACAGCATTAGCGCATCATTTGTGCTAATCACCAACTATGAAGAGTTCCTTACACTCCTGTGACTAAAACAAGTGCTGTGAATGCACTGTCTCACTTGGTCTTCACAACACCCCTAAGAGGTGGGGAACACTAGTACCCTCCCTTCACAGATGAGGAAAGTGAGGCTGGGAACAGGCAGGTAATCCACCTGGTCATCAGAGCCACCTGTGAACAGATCCACCTGGTTTCCAGGCCTGGGAAATTAACTTCAAGACTCTCCGGTGCTGGACCCTTCCACAGTAGTTAGTGAGGAAACGGGCAAACCCGTGTGTACAAGGTGGAGGCCGCAGATGCCGGGGTGCATGGCTTTTCGGTGGGTAGCTAGGGACTTCGTTGTTGTAACACGAGGAGAGACACAGAAACGTTGTGGTCTCAGCAACCAGCTCATAGTAACACCGACAGAACGGACCACAGGCCCTCCTCCTTCTCTGGGCCTCAGTTTTCCCACTGGTGGAGGAAGCCAGGCTACAGAACCCTTCACCTCTAAAATTCTGAGGAACAGGGTCAGTCACCTCTGTTCACTTTCAATGTGTAATAATATTTACTGTAATAGTTTAAAACAATGGCCGAGAAAACAGATTTCAGGCATCATGATAAAAAAATGGGTGCAATATTTAAATGGCACTTTTTGTTAACAGATTTCTGAACATTTTTCAAAAAGAAAATGAAGTAAGGAATTGTCAGAGTTCCTGTAATATATTTTTAGCTAATCAAATATCAAGTAGCAGGTAACTATTAACTGCAAAAAAGCCTATTATCTATTTACCATCCAGAAAATGGTCTGAACTGGATTACTCATGGCAAGTAAGCCACTGTGTGAAAATACCATCCTGTCAAAAGCAAAAGGAAAACAAAGAATCCTGATCTGAGAGAGTGTTTAAGGGCCAACTGTGTCCAGCTCAAGCCCAGCTGAACAAGAGGGGAAGGCTCTGGCCGCCTGCGGAAGGCTGGGAGGATGCAGGGCAGGGCTGGGGTGCTGCTGGCAGACCTCCCCACGCTGACAACCCAGCCACCGCCACAGATGAGGAAAAGGCAGAAAATGTGCACCAGGTTCTCAGCAAAACAAAACAAACCCCAAAAGGAACCGGGTCAGGTGGAAGCTGACTCCTTTCAAAATAAAGCAAAACGCAAAGCGTTCTCGGCTTGGTTATAGTCTATCTGGTCATCAGGAAGGTCCCTGACACCAGCAGAGAGAAACCTCCCCGAGCCGGGCGTGCTCAGTTAAGTCTGATGATGGGGGCGGTCTGGGGGGGGAATTGGAAGGTCAGGTCTAATCCAATCACTCATGATTTCGAACAGCTCCGAGCTGCAACGCAAATTAGGGAAACGGGTGCACGTTGGGGTGGTATGCGGCGGGGCGAACAAGGAACAGAAGTTGCAGTGATTCCTCTTAGAATAACCCGCTATTTGGTTTTCTCCCCACAGACGGCAGCTGCCTACAGCATAAACTGCAAAAGTTAGTAGGCATAATGCCAGAGACGGGGTGGGGGCCTTTGCTACCTTGGGTGGTGCTTCGTCGGACCCTCCAGAGTCCCAGGACACTGTGACCTGCCTTCTGGACTCCATCCTCATCCGTTCTTCTTGCTGGACCTTCTCTTCCTCCAGGATTGTGCTAGAGAGACAACACAGTATGTAAGGGGAGCTGACACGGGGGGGAGCTTGCACACACCAGGCCCCACCCTGACGACCCGAGGAGCCCCGCGGGAAAGAGGATCGGGTTTCTAACTTCACAGAAGGATTCCAGAATGGCCTTGATGCAAGGGGCACAGCCTCAGGTAAGGGAAGGGCAGCTGGCAACACAAGGAGGAGCTGGGAAACCACAGGGGGGCCAGGATGGATGGTCTGAACGCCACTTTCCTTTAAGCAGCAGAGTTCCCCTGAGCAAATCCCGAGCAGCGCTCCACACAGCACAGACCCAGCCCTCACAGTGCCACCACAGCAGCACAGCAACCGACCAAACAGCCATGCGGCCCAACGCTCCCCACACTGCTCACGACCTCCTACCAACTTTCACTTTAAGCAGCACTTTGCCTCATCAGGAAGGAAGGAAATGCAACAGTATCTACAAGCACTTCTGAAACTCCTGCAGGCTTGAAACTGGCAGCTCCACACCGGGTCACGCGGCTACTTACCCGCCGGGCCGCTCAGGGCTCCGCACCTGGGCTCTGGGCCATCGCGGGAGCGGCCACCGCCCTCTGCTGCCCGCCCGCCCGTCGCCCCGCCGCCGCGTCCTGGGGCTTCCCAGTCCCAGCCTCCTGGTGGAGGGCAGCAGAGAACCTCCCAGCGCTAGCAGCTCATGAGAGAGTGAGGTCAGCGGCCCCAGAGCCTTTCTTTCTAATCTGGGAATCCGGCTGGGCTCGACTGTTTCCAGGAGACATTCCTGCTGCCTGGAGGCGAGGGCAGGCTGTTTCTCACGCAGCTGCACTCATGCAATTTACAGCAGCAGAGGACGCACAGAATTCAACTCGTAACTGCCCTGAGTCAGCGAGCCCTTACTACAGATGGGAGTTTTGTTTTGTTTTGTGTTTTAAGGAAAGGGAACGTTTCCCTCCATGACCACATTAGCAGTTTAGAGAAAAGCAACCCCCTCCTCAAAATATGATTTCATTTTTCTTCTCACTCCATCTAGACGGTCATGGCTGAGTGAACAGCACAACACTTTAACAACAGTGCAGGCTCTGGCGGCACCCTCGAGGCTGGCCAGATGCACGCCAAGCCAGCGCTGTCGGGAACCTGGCCCCAGGTCCCACGATTCACAGGTCAAGTGCGTGCGACAGCCTATTTGCTTGGCCTTTGCCCACAATGGGCTGAGAGCTGCCGCTTTCCACGCGCCCAGAACTAGCACAGACCCCGGACCACAGTCTGCCTTAGTGGTGACAGGAGAGTGAAGCCACCATCAGCCGAGCACGTGCACTGGCTGGTGAGGAAGACCGGTCACCACCTCCCCGTGCCTCACAGGGGATGGGTGCAGGCTGCCGGGAGGGTGGCCGCTGGGAGCAGGGGTTCAGACAGACCCCTGGCCTGAGAGAGGGCTGCCTCCGATTAGGAGCTTTTCAGTGCCCCGCTCTCAATCACCTGGCCCTCAAAACAAGTAACAGACTCCAAGTCAGAATTTCCAAAAATTGCGTAGTTTTAAACTGAAAAGTCCATAACAATCAGGAAAAAAAATCAAGTAAAAAAAATCGTCCTTATTTCTAACTTCTTCAAATCATTAAAATAAAGGCAAGCTATGAGAAGGCCAAGCGTGACAGGTTCTTTAAGGCAATGGAACTTATTTTAAATAGGTCTCACGAAGGCAATTTATTTCACATGGGCTGTTTTGTGAACTGGGCCACCCTGACCTGAAGGTTACCGCTCCCCGCAAACACCTCCACATAGGTCACGGGAGGGCCCTTGCATAAGGAGACCCTCTTGGGCTCCACCTGCCCTGACCCTCTGCCCGCACTCACTGTTCTCTGACCCACTGATTCACTGTCTGAAGCCTCCCTCTCGGCCCTTCATCACCTGCTACCACTGAACACGGAACGCAGGGGTAACCGGGAAGCGAGTTCCTCAGTATCATACCAAAAACTAACACGTCAAAACCCTTCGGAGAAAGCGTAACTTGTTGCTCACAGTAGTGCAGAACATAAATAACTCCTGAAGTATCTGTTTGTACGATGGGAAGGCTCTTCCATAGATGGAGTAAGAGTGCCCATGGAGACAGCTCTGAACTTTCCTCTTTACAGCTGCTGAGGGACCCACAGCAAAACACTGGAATGTGCAGAGTGTCAAGGAGGTCAAATTTAAACATATTTTCCCAAAGTCCAAGTATTTTTAGTAGCAATACATTCTGTTTGAAAGCTTTTAGCTGCCTAATGTGAACTGGCAATGAGCCCTCATGCTTCTTCCTGGGATGGCGGTTTCTAAGTCTCAAACTCACCAGAGAGAAAACTATAAGAGCCCATAAGACTTTTCATTTAACAAACGTTAGAACATGTAAGAATCATTCTTTGTTTATCCACGAGCCCCATCTAGGAAGAGAACTGGGAAGAGGGGAAAGGAGTATTTATTTAACGTTAGTTTTATTTTTTATCACTACTTCCCTCACTTTAGGAGAAAAAGTCATCAAAGTAATCAATTCACACAGTAAAGGACAAAAAAACTTGCAAGCACGCGTTGACTTTTCTCGGCCTGTGGCACTCCCTGTGAAACCTGGTCTCCCGGGCTCTGCAAGCTGGTATGGAGAGGTCTCATTAAATTTCCGTTCTGGAGCAACAAGATGTGATTTTACTTCTAAGGTATTTTCATGGAGAGCAATAAAGTGGTCTAATAGCGTCTTCGTTTCCAGTACCAAGCTAAGATTCGGAAGAAAGTCTCCAACACAGACAAGATTTAGAGTAGACAGGGGCGATCAGTCCAAGTGGGTGACCAGCTGTTCCCGCTGTCCCAGCAGAAAGGGCACGAGCTATGAGCAGCACCTTCTGAGCTGGGCAGCTGGGCCCATTTCAACTTGTGTCCTCCTTCATAAATGAGAACGATACTGCCTGTCCTATCCACTGTTAGGATGGAGAAATAAAGTAGGTGAAAAAAACCAGTAAGACTTTTAAGTAAATGCTATCTAGTTCTGTACTTTTACCTGCCTTATTTTTTTTAAATGTATTTCATTTCTGTAGCATTTTTTCCTGAGAATGATTATAGTAATACTATTCTTTTCTGTGAAACTACATTTCTTCTATGCTTGAAAAACTTTTTTAAAAAAGATTGGACTTTGATCACCTAAACATAATAATTTTATGATGACATCACAAAATTTGCTTTGGACAGAAAATCAGTCTGGATTCATAGCTACTTAGGCTAATTTGAAAAACATCCAGAGAAAGAGCAGCAAGAAACTGGATGAACAAAAAAGCCACGAGGGAAATGGCTTGTTCTGGCAAGTTCATGGGAATGCCAGCTTTGAAACATGATCTCTTCTAAGTACCCAACATCGCCTCACCACAAAGGAATGGAGCTGACCCTTCAACAACCCCCCTTGGTATCTTTGCAGAAAACAAGGCTTGAGACAAAGCTGGGACGGCACCTCTGCAGTGGGCAGTGACCAGTGTTGCAGCACATGCCTCCCTCCTTCTTCTCTTATAAACACGCACAGCAGACCGAACATCTCGCCTCACGAATACAACAAAACTGCATCTCTCTTTACTTATTACGTATCTCAAACTGCAGGAAATAACGCACTTTTGTTTGGTTATGGTGTTACACATCTCAAAATTATTTGAAAAAAAGTGATTTCTACTAAAATCTTACTTTAGAATGGTGACCTCTTTGTATTTCTGGCAAGTTCGAGAAGCTCCTATTTGACCAATCCTCTTGCAGACAGCAACTACAGACTAGGACAGAAGAAACAGCCCTGTGACAGCACAAAGCAGTTAGGCTCTGGAGGAAGCTGCCACTGGGAGGAAAGGAACGGCACTGGGTGAGTGCCCAGTTTAATGGCCACTAGCCAGAAAGCCAGTCCCAGTCTTACTGGTTTGAAGAGCCAGAGGACTGAATTTGGGTCACCACAGCTGGTGGAAAGTGAGGGGGTAAATCCCAGGAAGAAGAAAGCCACGGAGGGGTACCTCAAATTCTGAGTATAAATTCTGCCTGAATCACTAGCTGACCCCTGTACTGTGCACATACAGGGCAGGCTCCAGGCAGCCCAGCTGAGGCTGAACTTAGCTGAATCGGGATTCGAGCTCACAGAATGGAGGGAGTTTGCAATGTGAGACCTGCCAAGTTAGCTGCCTGCTAAAACCAACCAACCAACCAACCAACCAACCAACCAACCAACCAACCACTCTTCACAGGAATAATACTGAATCCAGAGTTTCTGCAACCTATCAGTCACAATGTCCATGACATAATCTAAAATCACTTGATGTACAAATAAACATTAAAATGTAATCCATTTTCAAGAGGAAAAGAAATCTAAAGGAAGCTGACTCCAATGGTGACTCAGAAGTTGTAATTAGCAAGCAAGGACTTTGAAGAGCTATTATTATATTCAAAGACATAAAGGAAAATTTGGTCATACTTAATGAAAAGATAGGAAACACCAGCAGAGAAACTAAAGGTATAAAAAAGAGCCAAATGGAAATTCCTAATGAAAAATAAAATATCTGAAATAAAATCTCCACAGGATTGGATGATCAGTGGGATGGAGATGAGAGAAGAGTCAGGAAAATTGAAGATAAATCAATAAAAATTATCCAATCTGAAGAACTTAGAGAAAAAAGACTGGGGGAAAACAGAAGAAGAACAGAGCCCCTGGAACCTGAAGGACACTATCAAAAGATTTAACATACATGGAACTGGAGTTTTAGAAGAGAGAAAATGGAGCGGAAAAAGTATCTGAAGAAATAATGGTCAAGGACATACATTTACAGATTCAAGAGGTTCAGTGAAGCCCAAATATGATCAATACAACAAAAACCACACGCAAGCACATCCTCGTTATAAACTGCTGAAAACCAAAGATAAAATCATGGAAGAAGCCAGAAAAAATGACACTTTACATACAGAAGAGTAATAATTTAAAAGGCCAGTGACTTCCCATTAGAAATAACAGAGGCCAGAAGATAACGAAAGAAA